CCCAGGCCATGTGGTGAGGAGACAAAAAGAAACCCCAGGGGAAAAAACTCAGCAAGGCATCCATGCAAACAGACCTGGCCTTCGCCCTCAGCCCAGCTTCCTAGGGGAAAGGGTCCAGGGTCCTGGGACATGCTCTTTTAAAGCAGAAAGTCCTACCCCCTAGGCCCCGCCCCCAGGCCATGTGGTGAGGAGACAAAAAGAAAGCCCAGGAACATACATTAACATACTGAAAGCCAAATTAGGCTTCACCGATTAGCTTGTCTGAGCTGAGATGCAATATGGACAACAGGACACCCAGAGCGACAAGGTGCCAACATAGCTGAGCTGAGCAGTCTTTCTACAGCAGAGGGGGAGCAAAATGTATTTATTTATTTAATGAACCTATACCCTGCCCACCTAGTGGCAAGCCACTAATCTGGGCAGCTGCAGAGGAAATAATACAAGTGTCCAAAACAAAGATTAGAAACAGGAAACATACAAAAGAAAAGAAAAAAGACCCACCGAAAACCCCAAATGTCTAATAGGCATCACATAACCCTCAAGATGGCAAAGATAAAGACAGCTGATTCAACATTAAGCAGTAGACCATCAACACAAGGCTGTCACAAAATTACAAAATAATTAAAATTAAAAAGGAATAGGGCTTTCAAAAGCCTGGGTGAAGAGCCAGGCTTTAATTTGCTTCCTGAAGCTCTAGAGCAGGGGTCTCCAAAGTATAGCCCGTGGGTCACATAACCCTCAAGATGGCAAAGATAAAGACAGCTGATTCAACATTAAGCAGTAGACCATCAACACAAGGCTGTCACAAAATTACAAAATAATTAAAATTAAAAAGGAATAGGGCTTTCAAAAGCCTGGGTGAAGAGCCAGGCTTTAATTTGCTTCCTGAAGCTCTAGAGCAGGGGTCTCCAAAGTACAGCCCGTGGGTCACATCCGATCCACCTGGCCTTTTTATCTGGCCTGTCTGTGTGGGCGGGCAGGTGGGCAAGAGTTCATGCAGGCAGGCGGGGGGGACGGGAGTGCACACATGCAGGCAGAAGGGTTTGCGGGACTGCAGGTGGGCAGGAGTGTGCATGTGCCTGCTCGTATGCATGTGTTCCTTCGGCCCTCGAAAAGATCGCAAATATATTATGTGGCCCTCTGAGTGAAAGGTTTGGGGACCCCATGCCCTTCCACCAGAAGGGCATTCTAAAGCAAGGTGGCCCCTTCTGAGAAGATCTGGTTTCTAGTTGATTACTTCCTTTGAAGTGTCTACCCGCAACATCAATGACTGGGAGGTTTGGGTGGGACAGGAGGTAGACCTGAAGGAGAGGCATTCTATCAGGCACTGAAGTCCTAAACCATAAAAAGCTTTATAAGTTAACATTATTACTTCGAATTTGGCCCAGAAGCATACTGGCAGCCAGCACAAATGGGTCAGGACAGGCAAGATATTGTCAAATTTCGATGTATCCTTGACTGACTTGGCTGCTGTGTTTTGCACTTGCTGTAGCTTCCGAACCACCTTCAAAGGTAGCCCCACGCAGAGAGCATTGTGATAGTCAATCCTCAAGTTTACTAATGCATGGATCAGTTTTGTTAGGGACTTCCTGTTGAGAAAGGGGAACAGGTGTGCAGTCTGCCTCAGATGGAAAAAGCAGATTTGGCCTCAGCCAAGATCTGATTCTCAGTTGGAGCTGTGTCAAAAAAACACACACAGATTATAGACCTCATTCTTCAGGGGGAGTGTGAGCAACAAATGCGCTAATCAGGCAACAAATGCCCTAATCAGGCAACAAATGCCCTAATCAATCAGGGTGCCCTCATAACAACAAAATCTCTGTCTTGTCAGGATTCTAATTCAGCCTACTAGCCCTCACCCAGTCCATAACCACAGCCAGGCAGCACTCCAGGGTTTGTACAGCTTCCCGTGAAGATGATGAAAAGATATAAAGTTGTGTCTCATCAGGATACTGATAGCAACACCCTCCAGATCTCTAAATGACATTCCTCAATGGCCTCATGTAGATGTTGAACAGTAATGGGGAGACAATTGACCCCCTGTGGGACTCCAAATTGTAGAACTCTTGGGGTCAAAAAACAGCCTCTCCAAGCTGTACCATCTGGCACCGGCTACCGAGAAAGGAATGGAGCCAGCACAATCCTGTGCCTCCCAACCCCCAACCCCAACAATCGATCGAGGAGGATACTTTGGTTGACAGTATCAAAGGCCACTGTGAGGTCCCGGAGTACTAACAGAGTCACACTTAACTGGTCAGCTCCCATAACAGGTCACCTAGCAAGCAACCAGAACTGTCTCAGTCCCATGGGGAACCCCAATTGAAATGGATCCAGATGATCAGGATCCTCAAAGAACCCCTGCAGCTGTCCAGCCACCAAATATTAGCTTTTCCACTATTCATGCACTGTAGGATCTCCTGAACACCTCAAATCCTCTTTCCTCCCTACTTCAAAAAAACTAAACCCAGAAGTAGATATCTGGTCAATTCCCATTTTAATCCCCACCCACCCACCCCCCAAATGTTGTGTACTTTCTAGCACTTCTTGGCCTAGGTTGGCCTGTGGGGAATGCTGGGGGTAAATATTGGCAGACAGATCAGCAGTGGCAGAGACAAGTGCAAAGGCTTAACATGTACAGTGGTGCCTCGCATAGCGACGTTAATCGGTGCAGCAAAAATCGCTGCAAAGCGATTTCGTCGCTATGCGATTTTAAAAAGCCCATAGGAATGCATTGAAACCCCTTCAATGCGTTCCTATGGGCTTAAAACTGACCTTTAAGCGAAGATCCTCCATACGGCGGCCATTTTCGCTGCCCGGTAAGCAAGGAATCTGTCCCTAAACACAGTGGGCAGCCATTTTTTTTTACCCGGCGGCCATTTGTGAACCGCCAATCAGCTGGGAGGAAATCATCGCTTTGCGATAATCGGTAAGCGAAACAGGGTACCGATTAGCGCAAAGCAATTCCCCCCCATTTAAAACATCGCAATGCGATCGTAAAAGCGATCGCAAAAAGTTCGTCGGTATGCGATTTTGTTGTTAAACGGGGCGCCCGTTAAGCGAGGCACCACTGTAATATGATATCAATTGCCCTTCAGCCATATCGGATTTAGAGAACACCATCTTTGATTATATGTTTGCCCTTCCAAAGGGCATCTGCTGTGTTCTGGCATACTAGATTTAAAAAAAGATTAGACTTACTTGTGAAGGGAGAATTTTTGGTGGCTCAATTCTAATTGATGGATCCCATTCTCCAGGTGGCAGTATGGTCGCCTGGTCAAGAAATTCATCAATGCCAGCTATGAGGTCACTACGATCCTTGGCTTTATAAGCAACATCATGGAAAATCTATACACAAGAGGCCAAGAGATAATGATTGATTTTTGTTTCATTTAACACCGAAATAACAACAAAAGCAATTTCAAATGCATATGACTGTTATTAAATACAGTATATTTCTTTGTATAAGAAGATATTGACTAATCCTTAAAAATAAGACATAAAATAGATAAGCAGGTAATTTAAATTGGATAAGTTTTTTGCAGAAGGAATATAGATGCTATTAGGATATTTAGTATTTTACTAGGCAAGTGAAGCAATCTATGCATGTGCAGTGATTTAAGATGATCACTGAATTATTATATGCCTTTATCAGAGGTAAATCTCCATTAACCAGTTTTCACAAAGCTCCTCCTAAATCGTGCACATTCTGCAGCTAAGAACAGCGTTGTCCCAAATCTATACTTGCCTTTCTTTTTCTGTTGAGATTTTGATATGAAAATGTATTAAATACAGTACTGATGTTGTATAGTTAAATGTAAAATGGCTGATTTTACCTGAGTCAAGTATAGATTATATTCAGGTATGGTATCAAGGATTAAGACTTAATGTTGTACAGCTGTGGTGCATGATGAAACTTTGTGTAACAGAAAATGATGGATTTTCTGATTGGTCACAGAACTGTACCTAAGTCATGTATAAAATGAACGTCTTTATCTGCTGTAAGTCAGATCACTTTTTCCTATGCTGTGTGTGGCTTCATGTCATGTTATGCTGCCAGAGGAATGTCTATTCTCTATGTATACATGTAAATAGACTAAGTTCTTGGTTTTACTCTCTCAGTGTCATAGCGTCATAAGTATCTCTGCTAACCAGTATCTCCTTACTCTGCTGACGTTATGAGAATACACGTTATAATCAAAATTCTCAACATTTTCTTCTAAATACGTACAGTACTATCATAAAACAGGTACAAGGCTTGGGACCCTGCCTCATGTTACAAGTCATATAAGCAAATCCTGCATGCTGGCCATTGTGACATTCTTCTCAGTGTTCAAATAACTATAGAAAAGTTGGTGGCCCTTAACAAAATCAACCAGCTCCTTCCTCTAGTGTTCCTCTAGTGCCTCTTGTTATTCTTATTTAAAAATAAACCAGCAGCTAAAGAGACGGTCACTACTGATAAGCAGCTGCCCACTCCACTTTATCTGCCATTTGAGCATGGATGTGTCTTCCATCACTATTATTTGTTTTCAGTATCTTTTTTTAATCTTTCACACATGCACACCATATTCACATACTTAGCTGCTCATCACCAAGTCCTTTTGGAGCATTAATGCTTTTCAAATGCTGTTTGAGACCAGTCATCCTAGCCAAGTGTCGGCTCTTATCAGAAGAGGATGAAGGGGAGCAATCACCTAGTAATGACCTCTTGCTTATTTAAAACTATCTTGTATATTTTCTTTTGGGATGACATGCACAGAAATAGATTCTCAGGGTGACTACTTAGAATGACAGTCAATGACAGGTTCTTCCATCTATCTGGGCACACTGAACTGTTTTATAACACCATGATGTTTTCCATTTGCCCATTCCTGCCAACAGCAATCAGTAATGTGAAGCAGAGGCAGGAAAATCTAAATGCAATTGTTTTCACCAGCAAACATGCATCAAGCACAATTTTTCCCTTTCAGATCCTGCATTAGTGAAACTACCATAATACAATTTATGCATACCTTTGATTATTCAGAAATTAATTAAGCTTTAATTAATCTTTAATTAATTAATCTTTTTTCCAGGGTATTGCTAGGAAGGACCTTAAATGCAGGAAGCAGATGGCTTTCTTTCCTAGCTTTACTACAGTCTCTAGAGCACACTCAGTCCTGCAGCTAGATGTGTGTATTTACCTATATTCCAAAGCAATGCAAATGGCCTAAGCAGCCAAAAAATGTTCTATATTTTCCTGTACCTCATCCGTCATGAGGGTGGCCATCGACCTTCCAATTTCATGATACTGTGGTCCTTTGCCAATTGGCCCCAGCAAAATAAACAGGAACCTAGCAATTTAGAAAGAATAACAGAGAGTGTTTATTGTAGAAGAAACCAAACTTTATTTAATAGCAATTGGAACCAAGTAGAGGCTTGCAGTTTTTCACAGATACAAGAGAATCAATTGGGCTGAAAGGAAGCCTGTGCTCCAAGGTTATCCCCACAATAGTTTTTTAATGTTGTGATAAGTTTAAAGAATCTTAGCAATGGCATGAGGGGAGGTACCAGATGCATTAGTTCTTCCTGGAGCCCCCACCCAACCAGTTTTAGCCCCAAACTGAAGTATCAGGCTGCTTGCTTCCCTTCAGATTAACTTACAATCCTGCTGGATTTTCACTGGTTTTGAGATACTGGGGTGGGACAGCAGCCCCACCTTCTTCCTATGTCGGCTCTACTCTTCCTTGTGAAAACAGTGGCTTCAACAGCAACTGCACATCAGAATGGAAACAGAAGGGAGGGACCAGTCTGGACCTCTCATTCAGTAGCCTAGAGGTTTATAAATTTTTTAATTTGGGACCATTCCCCAGAGTAAGACTGTCTAGGCAGCTCTACACTCCATAAATGAAACATTTCTGCTCAGTTTTTATTGCCGTTTTCTGAACAAAACACAGACAGTGTAATCAACATAAATGCATCTTCAGTCTGCCATGGATGTCATCTATGTGCTTGCTATTCATACAGAGGTTTTGACCCAATGATTCTTCTAGGGGAAAAAGTATAGAAATGCATAGAAAGACCTTGATGCACAATCATATGGAGACCCTTATCCAATCCAAGATGAACATAGAAGGTTCATTTAAAGCCATGTACCTGAGTGAAGGCCATCTACCCTTAACGTGCTTGCTTCCCGCAATACTAGTTTTAACAATTGGGGACAAGTAAGGAATACCTTGCCCATGTAAGGTGTGAAGCTGATCTTTGCTATTGACATTTGGCCACAGGCCTGACAGAAACATTGTACCTTTGCAGGATATGCTGGATGTACTGTGGTTATATTCAGCACAAAGGAGAATGACCCATCATTGCTGGATGGTGGGAAGGAGGGAAAGAGAAATGCATTTTGCAGGACTGTGATATATGATAATCTCCTTCAGAACGTGCTGTCACACAATGGCCAAAAGCATTGACTTTGATCCTACCCAGTAATTCCATGAATAAATAGGTGGGTAGCACTAGCAGACGTGGTTTTAGCCCAATAGATGTGCTTGGACTAGAAAAACTAAGCTGTCCCTGAAATAGGGATGTGAAGACTATTCACTGAATTCCACATTCTCATTAATTTAAGCTGTCTTGACACAGAGGGCTATCAAGACAAGGAATTTTAAAAACATGACAAATTCCTTGTCTCCAATTTGAGAAAGACAATTAGTGTTTTTTTTCCTGCTGAGGTTTCTGCAGTGCATGCAATATGCCTCTACGCCTTTTCCTATTGTAAAGCTAAGCACACAAACACAGCAAGCAGAAGGACTGGCTGATTAATCAAAAAGACACAAACAATCCATCCAGTGGATGCAACAAGACAACAGCTATGATAGTTTTGCACAATTTGCATTATTTGTACAGAAACTGTTCTGGAAAAATGTGAGCACTTTCATCAAAACCAACAGAAAATATTTGGCTGTCTTGCACACAAGGGGAGAGAAAAAAGTGGTTTCTCAATCCTGTATCAGTTTTACCTCCATAACTCTAAGTTACTGTTAGCACAAAGCATGGCACATATGGAATAGTGCCAGGATTGGTATAATAAGGTAGTCCCCAAAAGCAAGCATTCTGTATTCCACAGTCTGTGCATAATGGCCCCTGGAACCTCAAAACCTGGGGACCACAGCCTAGAGGCTAGAACCCACCCCAAAAACCAGGGTCCCTGGGACTCCAAACCTGCCCCCCCAATACCCAATGGAATATTGGAGACTAGCCAGTAATTAATCAGTCTTCCAAGGTTAAAGGAGATCTTTTTCAGCAACTGTCAAACTATAGCCTTCATTAAGCACACTGGTATCTCCCCTGCTGCACATGTGGAGCTAATGCCAAGATGGGTGACCTCAGGTGACTCGAGTCCCAATGTTTGCCCTCAGTTCCCACCAGGCTCAAAAATCGTTGTTCAGGGCCATTCATTCATTCATTCATTCATTCATTCATTCATTCATTCATTCATTCATTCATTCATTACCTTGCCTGCCTCCCATGCCTAAACAATTCTCATTTTTCACAAGTCATAAACAAAAAAATAAGTAAACACAAGATGCACAATTCTGCAACAGCAACATCTCAAATGACAAAATGTACAAATGAACAGCACACACACACACACCCTCATACAAAAATGTATACTGTAGTTTTTGATTATTCTGATCACTCTTACCTGGTAGGTATTGGAATTTCAGTCATGCCTGGGAGAAGAACAGCTGGTGTTAAGCGCACAAAGGCAACGATGGGTCGTTTAAGAACATCCACCTCTCCTATTAGAACGTTTGAGGCTTCTGCTCCAACAGGGATTTTCTTCATAAAATGAAGTTCTGCCTAATTCCAGGGAACAAAGTATTGTTTCTAAGCTTGAACTGAAATTGTAAGGAGGTTCACTGGACAGTTATTACACTCCCTTAATTTTCAGATTGTTCCTAGGAAACCCTTTTCACTGACTTCCACTGATTTTTATTTTTATTTTTATTTTGCAATGGGATACTGCACGAGGCATAGACACAGCCAAGGTACATTTCCTACCCCTCTTATTAACGTGACAGCCCTAAAGGCTCCATAGAAAATCTATTTCTTGCACTAACTATTCAGTGACTTTTTTAAAGCACCTTTAGATAGTGCCTTTAGATAGCATAATTTAAAAAAAGCATGCTGCTTATATACTACCCCAAAAGACCTTAAAGCACTCTCTGGGCAGTTTACAATTTAATGATGCAGGCTACACATTGCACACCCACCCAGCAAGCTGAGTACTTAAATTACCAAGTTCAGAAGGATAGAAGGCTGAGTCAACTTCAAGCCAGCTCCCTGGATTGAACCTGGGTGGTGAGCAGAGTTTTGGATGCAGTACTGCAGTTTAACTACTGCATCACAAGGCCCCACCTCCAACTAACACTGATGTCACACGATGCATTTAGTTAAGTGAGCTAATCAAAAATTAAAGCAAAGCTTATTAAGAACTGGTTTTGTAGAGCCTGATGAATCTGACTGGCTGTGTAAAGGACTAGATTTTTACAAACAGTAAATGATGAAGAAGTTGTAAGTGCTATGAAAACCTGCAAATACATACAGGACTGTATAAACAAGTAAATTCTGGGTGATCTTTTAGGAATTCTTTTATCCTACTAAAACTGTGCTTATCAAGGAAGTAGCTTGAAAAATGCTTGTTTAAACTCTAGTAATAGACAATTGGTAATACCTTTGTTTTCCTTCCTGCAACCAACTCTACAGAGAAGTTATTCATTTAAAATATCTCCCTTGGAACTAATACTCAAAGTATAGTAAGGCAGAGGCCAGTAGTTCCTTAAAGGAATGGTCCATAAAATCAATCCAGGGCAGCAAGATCTGTCACTGTTTAATGTAGTCCAGATAATTCAGCAGACCTAAAGCAAAAACTGATTGTGGAACAGCCTGTTGTAAATGAGACACAAAATTCCAGACATCATGTTTTTCTTGTTATAAGAGGAAGAGAAGAGGCACCTAAAGAGGAAAATTAGCAGGCACAAATAAGGATTAATTTTTTTCTCCACATAAAATGCCTCTTCAAGCAATTTTTAATATTTTTCTGCAAACAGAATCCTAATTTGGACAGGGTGAATGTCTTGAATGGAATACATGTAAATAATATTTCCAGGTAATAGTCAGCAAGCAAGATAGAAATGTGCTGTAGAAGGATTACTAAGGCTAAAAAAATAAGTACTTCATAAGCACCCACCCTCGAGATAGTTCATGGCTAAGGTTACGCATGTCTTTTATTATATACTACCTGTCTGACATCTAGCATTTACTCGTCGCAATACAAATTCTAGAACAAATATTACTATATTGTCTAGGGACTTTTTGATTTTAGCACACTTGTTGTTGCTGTTGCTACTTGCTGTCAAGTCATAACCAACTTACAGTGGCCCTAACAGGTACTTTCCCTGTACCCTGTACTTTCAGGGTAAGTACAGTATTTAAGGAGTGTCTTTTTCCAGTTCCACTCTGCCAGTCAGTTTCCATGGCTGAGCAGGGATTTGAACCCTAGTTTATCACTCTATCCACTATTCTGTTGAGCACAGTGCGATTTGCAATGCAATTCTGTACACATTTACTCAGAAATAAATGGCTGTGGTAGGTTAGTTTACATCCAGGTTGGGTTGTACTTAATTTCCACTGAAATACATGGGTCAACTCAATTTCAGATTATCACTTATGCACCAGAGATGGGCCTTTAAAAAAAAAAAAAAACACCCTGAAAGGTGCAACTGCAATTCAGTTACAAATTAGACCAGTGGCTATGCACCAGAGATGGGCCTTTAAAAAAAAACACCCTGAAATGTGCAACTGCAGTTCAGTTACAAATTAGAACAGTGGCTAGAATCCTACTGGAATTTTACTCCAGAGTAAGTCAAATCACATAAGTTATGGTGCAAATTGCAACTAACTAACAAGATGCCAGCCTTGTGTCTGATCACATGGCAGTCATGCAATCAGGAATGCAACTAGTCACTTGTTACTTAGCTGTAGTTCATCATTCTTATTTACACAATTTCACTACTCTGGAGTAAAATCCCAATAGGATTCTAGCCACTATTCTAATTTGTAACTGAAATGCAGGTTTTATATATGTTAATACACTGATGTCGAAAACTGCCCTTACGTTAACCAAAGTGATTAAGTTGGATAAATGAATATTTTAAAAGCTTTTTACCTTGCTTAGGTCAGTTGGGGTAGTTTCATGACTCAATCCATTTCTCATCTCTGGGGTGGTTGAAGGAGGCTGGAGATTTAGAGAAGTTATTCCTAAAATAAAAACCAGAGAAAACCTGGTATGAAAGAATACATGAAGCGATTGTCTAAGGATATACTTGTCTCTGGATCATTTCAAGGATCTTACATGCATGAGGAACGAGAGAGATCCATCAGTAAGGCAAGCCCTCATAAGAGATACATAGCAGGATTTCATGGTAGGTAGATGTTGTTTGGGTGGGGGGAGAGAAACACATTCAAATATTATGAACATTTATTTCAAAAAGGAGGAAAATCAAACACACTGCAAATTATACTTAAGGGGGAATAAAGAGAACAAATCACTCAAACTCAGAGGTGGGGGTTGTCAGAGGTTCAGGGACCACGTGTGCCCATCTCCTCACCTTGGAAGGTTGATCAACTCCCATGATCTACACCAGTGGTTCTTAACCTTGGGTTACTCAGGTGTTTTTGAACTGCAACTCCCAGAAATCCCAGCCAGCACAGCTGGTGGTGAAGGCTTCTGGGAGTTGCAGTCCCTAAACACCTGAGTAACCCAAGGTTAAGAACCACTGATCTACACTACCCACATGTCCACCTCACAAAATTGGGAGAATCCTGAAAAGGCCTCCTTTTGACTCCTGGGGTCCATTTTAAAAGAGAGAGACTAAGAACAGTTAGGGAGGGTCAAAATACTGTATGACAAAATTATCTTCCACTTCCTGGAGAGCACAAGAGGACTGCTGGGATCCCAACTTTTTCTTTAAAGCTTATTTTATATTTGGGGTGGGATGTGCAGGTTCTGAGGTGGGGCCCACATTGCTCACCACTGCTCAAAATTAATGTTTCCCATCCTGACTAAAGAAGAGAACTTAGTGGTGTTGTTTTGTGCTGTCAAGTTGGAAACAAGTTACAGCAAACCTAATAAAATGTTTCCCATCCTGACTAAAGAAGAGAATTTAGTGTTGTTGTTGTTGTGTGCTGTCATGTTGGAACCAAGTTACAGCAACCTTAATAGGGGCTTTCATGGTAAGCAAGATGTTTAAGGAGTGATTTTACATGTCCCATTCTCCCAGTGGGTTTCCATGGCCAAGTGGGGATTCGAACTCTGCTCTCCAGAGTCCTAGTCCATCACTCTATCCACTGCACCACACTGGGAATTAGAGGATATCATTACATGAGTTTTATTGCTATTAACTGCCTTGACGAGAGAAAGCTGAGTACTCCCAGATACATACTTAAGAATATAAAAGAAAAGGGAAGTGGCACAGAGGTAAACATAAGTTTGCCTGAGAAACTTTAAATTGCCTCTATTCACCTGAACCTCGCTTTGTCTGTCAGACTCTTTCTTGGTCACCTGCCGCAGCATCCCAAACCAAAAAAAAAAAAACTCCATGGATGCCTTTTGTCCCCCCCCCCCCAATAGGTATAGCTAGAGACAACCCAGGGCTTCATTACACAAGGCAGACTGCCCACATCTCATTGAGTGAACCCGTATCACAGTGGCCAGGACCCAAGGAATCTTACCTGGCTTCTCTGCTGGCTGAGCATCAGTCTTTTTCTGGCCTACTTCTGCAAAAGAGCGTACAATTGGGAGAAGGTTGTTTTTTTTCTTCTCATTCTGATGATGATGCTTCTTCAGGAGGGTTTCCCAGACTTTTTTACGAATGTTCTCATCAAATTCATGAGAAGGTTCGTGTTGATCTAGAATCATGTCTGAAAGAGGAAACGGTTGAGCCACTCAAATACCAAGTAGACTGAATGTCTCCCTGACTGAAAATTAGTAAAGAATTTGTAAGTTCATACAGAAACAAACAACTTTTGTGTGCATGGACTGGTTGACCAAGATGTTAAGAAATCACTGGGCCAGTGAAGCTGATGGAATCCGCCATCAGCAAACTGATGTTCAGCAGGACAAGACACAGGGGAGAAAAGAGTTGAACTTCTCCTCCCCACCTGCTGAGATCTGATCATAATCACAAAAACACACAGAGGCTAGTTCTTGCATTTTGGAAAAAAAATGGGGATATTATCTGAGATCTGATCATAATCACAAAAACACCCAGAGGCTAGTTCTTGCATTTTGGGAAAAAAATGGGGATATTATATTCTACATTACATCTAGCGAGACTCTTAAAAGCAGAGGAATGAAAATATCATTGTTGGATCAGGCCACAGAGTCAGGTAGGAAGGTAGGTAGGTAGGTAACAACGCCCAGAGTCCTACCAGCTAGCATGGCCAAGTAGCAGTGCAATAAAGCAATTTCCCCCAGCTCTGTTTAGCAGCTACTGCATGGGATACTCATTTCCACCTTCCCAGAATGGCAAGCAAGGCAAACAGCTCTTCTCTGTCAGGGAAAACTATTAGCCAACTAAAAATTGATTCCATTCCTGGATAAATACAAGGCATACTTCAAATTACGTGGCTATTTTTAATTAAAACAGTGAGCCAGATACAAGTATGTTGTGAGCCACAGACACCAACAGAGGTTGTGTTACAGAAGTATTCTGCAGACTATTTCTCCATCCGGCAAGGATTCTTCTTCAGTTAATGAGCCATACTCAAAAACGCTCAATCACTGGCTAAATAATGCATCTGCAAACCCTACTTTAGATAATGCAGTTCCACAATTTGACTCAGTTTTATTTCTCTGCCTATCTAAGCGAATTATAAGCAATCTGCAGCACAATGCCTCAGTAAGGTATCTTGCATAATTGACTGTCGCTGGCAACCCGCATGGGAAGGAAATGTGCTAAGAAGCGGACATGATCAGATAACAGAGGGCTTGAATTGAATCTCACCAATCAAGAACCCATTTGTATAAAGCTGCTTTTCTGGAGAGAGGAGACATTAGAAGAGAAAAGAAGGGAGGAGAGAAGTAGGGAGGGGAGGGAAGGGAGAGAGGGGAGGATATGAGAGGACAAGACAAGACAAAGCGAAACAGAAAGAGTATGGAGGAAATTTCCATTATCTCTTCCTTAAGATCATATTATTTTTTGCTACCACACAACAAATGGCACATTCCAAATTTCTTCCTCTCTGATTAAGAAGCCATGAAATCTCTGATTTCTACCAAAACTTACTATTTAAGGGAGAGGCTGTTTGTAGCTCACGGTTTGCTTGAGAAGATCCTAGGTTCACTCCCTGACATTTCCAACTGGGCTGGAGAAACTCATGTTTGACACCTAGGAGGGCTGCTGCCAGTCAGAGCTGACGGTACTGGACTAGATGGGCCAATGATCTGAACATCTTTTTTGGAAAGCGGCCTCCATTCACACACAAAACCCTCTGACAAAACCTTGATGACTGAGGATAAATAGCTCAGAGAAGATCTTCAGGTTACAAGCCTATCTGGCAGCTTCTATCACATCCACGTGAATCTGCTACAACTGACTCAAAATGTCCTCTTTCCCAAATTTACCCACTTATTTACAAGTGATAAATTGTGCAGGAAGCAAAAATGGTTTGATAGTTTTGGGAAGCACATACCACAAGGATTGGCATACTTTTATGTATGAAGAAATGTTACTCAAAAAATGAATGCTCCAGTGGCTGCCACTGCTGCAGCTGTCTAAGCATTCTTCCAGAATGCCCCTAAAATGAAGCTAGTGTTCCTTCACTAGCACTATTTTGTGGGCATTGGGGAAAAGAGAAACTGTGTCAGCCAAATCCACATATCAAGTTGCTTTATATTAAAGCAGACCATTCATCCACATAGCCCAATACTGCCTACATGACCTAGAAACACCTCTCCAAGGTCTCTGGCAAAATTTCATGTCAACCCCAAGCTATGACTTGAGAACAGATGCTGCAACACACAACCATTAATGTCTAAACCACTGGAAACAAAGGTGAGTACACCTCTAAGTGACAATGTCCAAACTGGGTACAAAGTGTCAATATTTTGTGTGGCCACCATTATTTTCCAGCACTGCCTTAACCCTCTTGGGCATAGAGTTCACCAGAGCTTCATAGGTTGCCACTGGAATCTTCCACTCCAACATGAGGATCTCACAGAGCTCATGGATGTTAGAGACTTTGCGCACCTCCACCTTCCATTTCAGGATGCCCCACAGATGCTCAATAGGGGTTAGGTCTGAAGACATGCTTGGCCAGTCCATCACCTTTACCCTCAGCTTCTTTAGCAAGGCAGTGGTCGTTTTGGGGTGTGTTCGGGGTCGTTATCATGCTGGAATACTGCCCTGTGGACCAGTCTCTGAAGGGAGGGGATCATGCTCTGCTTCAGTATGTCACTGTTGGCATTCATGGTTCCCTCAGTGGAATGTAGCTCCTCAGTGCTGGCAGGACTCATGCAGCCCCAGACCATGACACTCCCACCACCATGCTTGACTGTGGGCATGACACAATTGTCTATGTACTCCTCACCTGGCTGCCACCACACACACTTGACATCATCTGAACCAAATAAGTTTATTTTGGTCTCACCAGACATGGTTCCATAAATCCATGTTCTTAGTGTCACATTCCCAGGGGTTACAACAGCAGAGTCC